TTGAACATTAAATATCTGGTCTTTGTATTGTGTATTTAGTTGAATTTAGGTTGAAAAGGATTTGCAGATCATCGTATTCTGTATTTATTTATGTTTTACACATCAACCCAGCTTGAAATAGGGTTGTGTAATAGCTGATGTGCATTGTATCACATAATCAGGTTCTCACCAGCGTCATTTTCAGGTAGTCTCTGGTGAGTGCGTTGTACTGCGTGATCCTCTGCCTGATTTCCTCCGTGCTGAACTCAGTACGGATCTCTCGCTCCTTCTCCACATCCTTCCAGAAACAGACAGGAAACAGAAAGAGGTAAACATAAATCACAAGYCAGGAAAGAAAACTACAACATGATTTCACACTGAACTGAAGTTTTGTGTCAGGTTTATGATTATAAATGATGATCAGGTTAACTTCAGCTGAATGTATGAGACATTTTGAGGATGAAGTAAACCTAAACTAGTCAGCTGATCTTTAGAAACATTTTCCAATGATTTACATTCTTGAAAGAGTTTCATAATCCTCTTTGTTTCAACTGGCGTCTTTTGTGTTGGAGCCATTATTCATTTTGTGCAACAGCTTTGCAAAGTTAGCAGATTTAGTCTGATGCAGGTGTTTGTTTTAGAGTGATGGATTTTTTTTTCTCCTCTACTTGATTTAAAAAAGCAACTGTGACTGAAAACAACAAATCTTTTTTAATGTTTATATCAGAAGATTGGAATTTTGAAAGCTGATAGTTTGATGGCAGGTCTGATTTATTTATACAAAATAAAACATCCTCCAGGAGAGGTGATTACATCATTTTTACAGGATTTGTAGAAAAATAACTTTAAGTGAAACATGAGCCGTGCAACGAGCTTAAGTTTGTTGTCACGTTGGTGTTTCTCTTAAAAGTGTTTGATGCTGCTCACAAGGAAACACGCCTGCATAATCTCGTTTAAATGAACACTGAAGACCAGAATGACACGTTCAAACTCGTCTGATGACTGAATTACTGCCTCACGACGACATGAACACACACAAACACACACAAACCGTGTTCACATCAAGCTGCCAAGTTTGTTGCATRAGAAGCTGTAAAAGCAGGATCCACTGACCTCACTGGCAATTAAAATGTTTTGTTGAGCAGCCAGCACGACTCCGAGCAGTTCAAATGACTCAAAACATCAAAACTAACAGCATCAACGCTAATGAGACATTTTTGGTCAAAACGTTTATGGTTAATACAACAAAAGATTGCTTTTTGTTGAACTTTTGGGCATGAAAACTAACATGAATATCAGGAAATGTGAAGGATTGGGGAAGCTTTAAAGTGTCCCAAAACTAAATGACAACACTACTTCTTACATTTTTACTGTCAACAAATTACACTTGCTTTCTGAACGACTTTAAAGTTATTACTTTGACAGTTTAAAATGTGTTGCTATAAACAAAACGGGTTAAAAAAAGTGACAAGAAACACATGTAGGCAATGGTCTTCTGCAGAGCCAATAGTAGTATTTTATTATTTAAAAATATATAATGAGGTGTAAGAAAGGGGTTCAGACAAATATATTTTTTACAGAGATGTGAACAAAGAAAAAAACTTTTTTAGGCCTAAAAAACAACAAATCCCAAAGTTAAAACAGATTTTAAAATGTCTTCAGTGTAAAAATCTCAAAGAGAACTCTATCCTTCCCTGGTGTATTCTGTGCTTACAAGGGCATAGCACAGCTCCCCTCTGCATCTATTAAAAACCACACACACATACACACGCACAGTCGCACACACACACACACACACACTGCAGAATCCAGGGATGCTTCCAAGCACAGACACCCTTATATGGCTGACAAACAACACACTCCAAGAAGAAACGAGGTGCCAGTGCAGTAAGTGCCGGCAGGGGAAGGTACGGGTTTACAGCTCCGACAAACAGAACGAATGTCCGTCTGAGAGGAAGATGATGAGGCCTGGTCCGGCTTTAAACCTCTTTTTGGTTCGACACAAAGAAAATCCTAGACTTCGTTTGACAATTTACAACGTACTTGTAAGTTCATGTGTTAAATACAAACAGAACGTCCCTTTAAGTCCCTCGTGTTTACACACTGCAATAAACTGCATCATTTAAACACTGAAGTGTCCATTTATTTATTCAACAACACTGATATTAAGCACCGTTTTCCCACACTGGAACTCCAACTTGGCTTCACTTTTAATTTGGGAGGTTTACATCAGGACAGGTTGGGTTTTGTTTTGGTTGGAGGACTTATTTGAAACACATGATCACACCAAGCGAGCCCAACACGTGGATGGAGGTTGTAGACCAGCGCTGGTCRGTCCTGCCTCTAACCCTTACATCGTCTCGCCTCAACGATAAACAAACATGACCTCGCCACACTCACCACCTCATTCTATAAGTGGAACTTTAATTTAGTTAGAAATTGATCAGCATGAACTGTTCAATGAATTACCCTGATATTTTCAGTTTTTCTCCAGGGAAGACTTAAGGAGGCACAGAGTTATTCTCACAGTTTGACACCACATCAAGTAAAAATGTACAGCAGGTAGATTAAAATCCTGCTCAGTTTGTTTTACTGAGTCATCTGTACAAGAAGTTTTAATCCAGATTAAAACTACACAAGAAGCAACTCGAGTTTGCTTTCACAACTACCACCTCGTTTACACCACCTGCCCGACTCATCAGGATTATTACAGCTCAACAGATCACGTGAACGCCAACAAAAACAAAGACACGATAAAGCTCAAGTTTACAAATTCCTTGATTTATGTCGGAATCTTTCCACCAAGTCATGATGACTTGAAGCAGAGGGGTTTTTCCATGATTTAATCTAGTGCTGTACCAAACGATTGTTTTCTAATCGATTAATCTAACGATTATTTTTTTAGATTAATCGATTATTCTAACAACAAATCTATAAGTTATTCTGATGTGAGTGCACTGGATATTTAAAATGTTTTCATCAAATTAACAAGAACAGTTCTTTAATAT